TGAGCCGAGCCGGGCTGAGCCGAGCCGGGCTGAGCCGAGCCGGGCTGCGTCACCGGGAGGCCGCGGTGGGGAGCCGGGCTCTGCGGGCTCCTCGGTGAGCACCGCACCCGTCGCTCATTTCCTCCCCGAGTTGCCCACTGAGAACCTCTGTGAATTGGTTCGCCCTTTAACCCCCAGTCAGGGCCTAGTTACAGGGCTGCGTCGACGACTGTTATCCATGAGGACAACTCCAAATCCGGAACCTTCTTTTGAAGTGCCTTGGGTTTGGGGGTTTGAAGTCTGGGCAAGTACTCTATCACTTGACCCACTCCACCGGTCCCTTTTCCTGTAGGTTCTTTTCAAGACAGCGCAGCCCGCAGCCCCGCGTGCGCAGTCCCGCGTGCGCAGCGCAGCCCGCAGCCCCGCGTGCGCAGCGCAGCCCCTCGGTTCTGTCCCGGCCCCGAGCCCGGGCCAGCTGCCCGGCCCCTCTTTCTTGTCTTGCCTGAAAAGTATCTCCCCTTTCATCCTTAAATTGGCTCGCTCGAGTCTCATTCCTTCCAACTGTATGTATTTCTGACACCAGGCCCTGGACTCTTCACTGCCCACAACCAGCTGCAGCCTTTCTCCCCAGACCTCCTCCTGCATTCCCTCAGCCAATTTAAAGAAAGCCCAGATGGAGGCACTTGCAATCTCAGCTCTCTGAGGCAGAGATAGGAGAGTTGTTGGTTTGAAGTCAGCCCAGGCTACATAGCGAAACTCCACCTCAAAAGCAGTAAGTCAGAGCTGTGGCTCACACCTGTCATCCTAGATAAAGTCAGAGCTGTGGCTCCCACCTGTCACCCTAGCTAAAGTCAGAGCTGTGCTCACACCTGTCACCCTAAAGTCAGAGCTGTGGCTCACTCCTGTCACCCTAAAGTCAGAGCTGTGGCTCACACCTGTCACCCCAGCTAAACAGAGCGGTGGCTCACACCTGTCACCCTAGCTAAACAGTCAGAGCTGTGGCTCACTCCTGTCACCGTAGCTAAACAGAGCTGTAGCTCACACCTGTCACCCTAGCTAAAGTCAGAGCTGTGGCTCACTCCTGTCACCCTAAAGTCAGAGCTGTGGCTCACACCTGTCACCCCAGCTAAACAGAGCTGTAGCTCACACCTGTCACCCTAGCTAAAGTCAGAGCTGTGGCTCACACCTGTCACCCTAGCTAAAGTCAGAGCTGTGGCTCACACCTGTCACCGTAGCTAAACAGAGCGGTGGCTCACACCTGTCACCCTAGCTAAACAGTCAGAGCTGTGGCTCACACCTGTCACACTAGCTAAACAGTCAGAGCTGTGGCTCACACCTGTCACCTGCTGCTCTGCTTCGGAGGCTGCGGTTTGAAGTCAGGCCAGGCGGGAAGATCTGAGACTCATTTCCCATTAACTACGGAAGAGCGGCCAGTGGAGCTCTGGGGCACAGGTGTGGTTAGGGACAGTCCCCAGGCCCACGTTCAAGCTCCAGGACTGCTGCGCATGCACGCACGGACGCACACGTGCACAACGCACGCACATGCACACACGCACGCGCGCACACGTGTGCACACATTCACACACGCACAGCAAAAGCAGGCCGGCCGTACGCTGCGCCTGCTCTCCGGGACAGGACAGACCTCCCCGCGGAGCAAGGGCGGCGCGGCTCCCGACCGCCCGGGCCCGGCCCGGCCCGTGACAG